TGGAGCCACCGCGAGGCTTCGCGAGCCCATCGGAAGCGAAGAAGGCGAGAAGGCAACACGTACACACATACACATGTTGCAAGCGTTGTTTTTGACGGGTTGTGGTTTCTTAGTTGTCTCCTTGGGAGGCGCCGTGGCCATTTGGAGCTGACTCGGGGCGGTCTTGGGGCATCCTGGCGGCAAGTTGAAAACGATGTTGAACCATCTCGGGCAATGTTGAGCGATGTTGGAGGCCATCTGGGACTTTCTGGATCCGTCTTGGGGCCAGTCTGGGCCATCTTGGACGCTCTAGCCCATAGGGGGGTGGGGCTCAAGACCGAGCCCCTTAAACCACTCACGCCCTAGAGCGCTGGTAGGAGTTCTACGCGACTCGCGCATAGAGCATGCTCGCACGCACGCTCGTGCATTCATGAGCGCGTTCCCGCGTGCTCGCGTTCAGTTGCGCGTATTAGCTCGCGCGCGCACGCGTGCACCCCTGCCAGTCGTTGGCCATCTGCGTCTCGACTCCGCGACCTACCAACGCGCGTCTTCACTCGCGTTTGCAAGAGCTCCCGTGCCCCGGCAATGTTTACAACTGCGCAATTAGCACGGCTTGAATTTGTTTCCACATGCCCATGCCGTCTCGCATTGAGCTATACCTGATTGGAGTTGCGTGTCCATGGTTTGCCGTCTGGGCGCGTCTTTCTGTTCGCCCTCCAGGTGCCCCCCCCCCGTCTGGTTTCCGCCAGGTCGAGCTGTTTCCAATTGGTACCCCCTTCGGGGAGGGTCTTCCCCCCCTACCCCCCTGGTTCTTCCAGACCCCACTCACCCCTTGCCTCGCCCTGATGCGACCCCGTCGCTGCGCTGCAGCAGCGCTGCCGCCGCGCAGCTGCCCTCCACCGCCACGGTGCGGCTGTCCCTTCCCTCCTTCGCTTCGGCATGCTGGCCGCGCCGCTGTCCCGCGGCCGCCCCGCGGTTGTCCCGCGAGTTTCTATCAGCGCAGGGGGGGGTCGCTTCGGCGGACGCAAGCCGCGGCCCCCTCGACTGGAAGCCGGGCGGTGTATTCCTTACCTTGTCGGATGAAGTCTCGACGCTTCGCGCATCCCTGCCAGCCCATCCAACGGCAGTCATTAGGCGAGGAGGTCGGGCACGAGAACGCTGGCAGCCAGCCCAGTTTCTTCCTGAGGCCCTTTTGGGGTCTTTCTTGAGGCTCTATCATTGCCCTATTGGGGCCCTCTTGGGGCTACTTTAAAGAATTGTGGAATTATGTTGGGGTTATTTTGGGAGGTTTTGTGGGCCTCTTGGAGCGCTTTTGGAGGCTTTCTGGAAGCCTTGGACGCCTCTTGGGGCCATCTTGGAGGGCGTCGATCCAAAGAAGGGGGCTCCTTAATTCTTTACGCTTCGCGTATCCCCACCAGCCCATCTCAAAACAGCAACTCTTGCGAAGCATGCCGACAGTCGTGTTTTTCAGGCGTGTGTCCGCCTGCCCCCGCATATCTCCCCTGTTCCTCCTTCCTCCCGCCTCCTTGTACATCCTCCTTGTGGTGGGAGCGGGAGAAGGACGAGGCGGAGGAGGAGGGAGAGAAAGCGCTCCTCGTGGTTTGAGTCGTTTGGGGTTTCTCGTCCTGGTGTGAGTCGTTCGGGCCCTTCTTCCTGGTGTGAGTCGTTCGGGCTCTTCGTGGTGTGAGTCGTTCGGGCTCTTCGTCCTGGTGTGAGTCGTTCGGGCTTCTCGTGGTGTGAGTTGTTCGGGCCCCTCGTCCTGGTGTGAGTCGTTCGGGCCCCTCCTCCTGGTGTGACTCGTTCGGGCTCCTCGTGGTGTGAGTCGTTCGGGGCCCTCGTCGTGGTGTGAGTCGTTCGGGCTCCTCGTGGTGTGAGTCGTTCGGGCGCCTCGTCCTGGTGTGAGTCGTTCGGGCCCCTCCTTCTGGTGTGAGTCGTTCGGGCTCTTCGTGGTGTGAGTCGTTCGGGCCCCTCGTCCTGGTGTGAGTCGTTCGGGCTCCTCGTGGCGTGAGGCGTTCGGGCACCTCGTCCCCTTTTGGGGCGTCTTGGGGGCCTCTTGGCGGCCCCAGGGGCTTCTAGGAGCGTCTTGGGTGCCTTGGGGGAGCCTCTTCGGGCCTCTTGGGAGCCTCTTGGAGGCCGTTTGGGGCGTCTTGGGGGCCTCTTGGCGGCCCCAGGGGCTTCCAGGAGCGTCTTGGGTGCCTCGGGGGAGCCTCTTGGGGCCTCTTGGGGGCCTCTTGGGGGCATCTTGGGGGCCTCTTGGAGGCCTCTTGGGGACCTCCTGGGGGCCTCTTGGGGCCATCTTGGGGCCTCTTGGTGCCTCCTGGGCGCTTCTTGGGGCCATCTTGGAGGAAATCGATCAAAGAAGAGGGGAGCTTTGATTAGCGCTGCCCCCTCAGAAGGGCAAAATGGGGCCAAAACCTTCGTAAAATCAATGGTTTTGGCTTGAAAGAAGAGGGGAGCTTTAATTAGCGCTGCCCCTTCAGAAGGCCAAAATGGGGCCAAAACCGTAGTAAAATCAATGATTCTGGCTTCAAAGAAGAGGGGAGCATTTTTTCTCCCTCCCCCCGTCGGGGCCAGAATCCTCGTGAGGGGTGTCGTTTTTTAGCCCTCCCAGGAGTCGAAAACGACCCCTCTGACCACCCGCGGAAGGACCTCTCCAGGCCCAGGGGGAGGGGGTAGGGGGAGGGGTAAACCCCTCCCCGAAGGGGAAGAAGGGGGGTTGAGAACAGAGAGAGCTCCCTAAACCACTCACGCCCAAAGGGCTGGTGGGATTCAGGCCCCCCTCAAGAGCCTTCGAAATTGCATCTTGGAGCCTTCTTGGGGCCCTCTCCGTCTCGCGGGCCTCTCAGGGCTCACTCGGGCCATCTTGGGGCCAGAGTTAGACTTCAAAAGCCCATCGAAAGCAACGAGATGTGAAGGTAAACGCGATGGAATCCCCCAGATATTCGAAGGATGTGGGCGCCTTGGGAGGGTCCTTGGGGGGCGCCGAGAGCACTTGGAATCGTTTTGTGGCTCCCGTGGGGTTTCTTGACGTTTTTTTCTCGGGAACTATAGTGAACCAGCGTCGGCTACCTTGAGCAATCGTGGGGGCCATCTTGGAGCATCGGAGGCCTTGTTGGAGCCGCTTTGAGCGAAACAGGATCCCCATGGGGGCCCAAAAGACTTCAAGGAGGGGAGGGGAAGGGTACACCTCACCGAGGGAAAGAGGGGCTCCGGAAGAGGAGAGAAAAGTTTCGTCAGACCGCGTACGTCCAGAGGGCCGGTGGGATTACCTACCTCGCGTTCGCTTCCAGGCTCAACCAGGGCGGACCACGCGCCTCATCTTCAAGCAGCCTGACCGTTGCGGGCCATCCCACGCGTAGTTTGGTATCGTCTGGTTCCCGTTTGGTCAGCGATGGTGGTCATGAGCGGGGTAGGTTCGTTTGCCTCTTTTTGATAGCTTGACGTTCCAGACCTTTCTGCAAGCGAGCAAACAGGACGTCGAAAACGTTTGCAGCCAGCCCCGCCACCAGGCATACACCCTTTCAGCTGTGCACGGTTGGCGCGCTTTTCCCGAATATTCTAGAAACGTCTCGCACAGCTCTTTCTCGTTCTCTATCCCTCTCGCTCTTTCTCTCTCTCTCTCTCGATCGGTCGATCGGTCAATCTCGGATAATGAGTTTCGTTCTCTCTCTCTCTCTCTGTCTCTCTCTCTCTCTCTTTCTTTGTATTTCATGTTTTTCTCATTGTGTAATGTCCATTTGTTGTTCATGCATTGTCTCTCTTTCTCTTGATATGTTTCTCTCTCTCTCTCTCTCTCCTACACACAACACAAACACACTTTGCTCACACGGTATACAAATGTGTGAGTGTTACATGCGTGTATGTTTACATACGTACGAGTGACATACATAAGTGTGCACTTATTTCTTTCTCACACAGAAAGGAGGGTCTAGGATCTTACAGGTAGCCCCTGGCACGCATCTAGGCCCACCCGCATTGAGTTGCGCCCTGCTGTCTGTCTCGATGAGCACGGCCGCCATCAGAGTATGGGGTGAACGCGTTCTTTGTTCAATCGAATTTGAATGCTTGGCGTCAGAAGTTTTGGTCTCTTTCACATCAGAAGATGTTATCTCTTGATCGCGCCTGCCGCCTTGCAGAACAATATGTGGCGAAAATGATCTGAGGGGGGAATCATCAACTGTTCAACGTTTTGGTTACAGGAGAGGTCCAAGATGATAGCCGACAACGACAGCCCCCCAATGTGACAGCGCTCCAGCGCCCCGAGCCAGTCGAACCAGATTGAACGAGCATCGAGGACGCATGAACAGCTAAGTGATTGTCTTGTTTGTTGGGGAACTTACTTTGCATGTTCTCCATGGCTTCCCTTCAAGTGATTACGGTGGCAAAGCCGTGTGTCCATCTGCCCCTTCCCTTTGAAACACCGTTGCTCCGCGCTGTTGAAGAGCAATGTCCGTGAAGATTTGGTGAGTATCTGACACACACCAAACAAGACACCTCCCTGGACGCAGACGAACACAATACTCATCCTCATCATTCCTCCACCCTCGTCTTCGTCGACCTCCTCTCCCCCGTTCCTCGCCTCCTCCTTTTTCCCTCCTGTTCCTCCCCCTTCCCAGCGGTCCCTCCTTCCATTCGCCCCTCCCCATCGCCACTGTTCTCCTCCCTCTCTCTCTCTCTCTCCTTCCCCCGTCACCCTCGATCGCCCGCCCCCCTCTTCGATATTCCAGACAACGTTCCAAGGACCAGGCTCTCCGTTAGGGTACACCGTGGAAAAAGCCCGGTGATGCCCCCCCTCCTCCCATACATGAGGAAGGGCCTTGCCTTCGAGGATAGAAAGAGATGGCATCTCTTCCGCCGCGGAAGGCGGCGGAAGGGCGGCGGAAGGTCGGCGGAAGTCAAACGAGGCCGCCTCCGCCGGCGGAAGGCGGCGTGAGTAAAAGATGTGCCCCCAAGAGATGAAAAAGTTGTTGGGTTCAGGGTTTCCAAAATCGCCCACATGAGGAATAGTTTGCCGCTGCAAGGTGAGTTGATGCAGACGGTGCGCCGAGGCAAGAAGGCGGGCGAGGAGCTGCCGGAGATCTGGGTGGCGAGCGCCATCGGGCAATGTCTAGAGGATTGCGATTCTCAGATAGTTGTTCCTCTGTCTCTCGGTCTGTCTCTCTTTCGCTCTCTGATTTTTTATGTGTCTATCTTGATATATAGCATCAGCGCTCGTCACGGTAAAGCCGTATGTATCTACGTGTTCTCTCTCTCTCTCTCTCTGTTTCTCTTTGCTATTTCTGTTTGTTGTTGTTGCTCTCTCTCTCTCTCGTTCGCTCTCTCGCTTTCTCTCTCTCTCTCTCTCTCTCTCGTTGTCCCTCATTATGTCTCTCCGTATTCCGCAAACCGTCCTTGCATTGAAGGGGCACTCCCAACACTGATAAAGATTTGGCGGGCGCGTCCAGTCGGCTGCTTCAGGTGACTCGATTGCCAGGTTCCTGTGTGCCTTGGTTGCTGGAGTATTCCAGGTCTTGGTGCAGCACATCAACGATACCGCACTTAGGTAATATAGCAGGATACTATATGTTCTTGTCAGCGTGAGCAACTGGTCGTGGCGAGGAACCCACCCAGACATGCAGCTGTAAGAACCGCCCTCGGTGGAGCTCCTTGTGTGGCCATGAGACGTGTGAGTCGTGTGGTGAAATGGGGCGGGGCCGCCATGCGACCATTGTCCCCAGGGCCTTCGGTGAAGCTCCCTATGGGGCCACAAAGCGTGCGAAGGGTGTGCCTGAATTGGGCGGGCCCACCATACGAACGCAGCCAGTCGAGCCATCACTGGAGCTCCACATGGAGCAATGAAACTTGTGAGGTGTGTGCCAAAACGGGGCGGGGCCGCCATATGACAGCGTGCCACCATGGCCTTCGGTGTCTGAGGGGTGTGCCGAAACGGGGCGAGACCGCCATGTACGCGCAGCTGTTAGAGCGTTCAGTGGAGCTCCATTCCTGGTCACGGAACGAGTGAGGCCGCCTTGCGAACGCAGCCAGTGGCGCCTTCATTCTGGGCCGCGAAGCGTGTGAGGGGTGAGGGGTGTGCCGAGGGGGGAGGTGAGGGAGGATGCGAGGAGGAGAAGGAGGTGGTGCGCGGCGCTGCGAATTCAAAATTCGGCTACAGGATGGTTGTGATGACAGAGCTCTCTCTCCAGTCCCTACCTCGCTCACATTCCCTCAATTGCCGCCTCCCCCCCTTTGGTGTCTGAAGGCGCTTGTGTACATCCACTCCAAGGGCGTGGCGCACAAGGACCTGAAGAGCCAGGAACGCGGGAGTCGCTGGGGATCCGAGGGCGAGACGCGGAAGCGCGCGGGCTTCCCGGGGTATCGGCGTGGCTCCCAGGAGTGATGCGCCAGAGTCCTCGGACGAAACGCGGAAGCGCGTGGGCCTCTTGGGATTCGATTGCTCTTGTGATGCCGCCCTGGAGGAACAAGGAACGGTATAGACATTCATTTTCGGAGGTTCGCGCCGACGTCCGAGTGTTCATTCTTAGCCGCATGTTGCTATTCCACTCTCGGGTGTGTCCGATGTCCTCCCTAGGCCGTGCGCTCCTTCTCTTCGCAGGGTACTGGTGCTAAGGCCCCCACGGGACACCGATCCTAGATTTTCCAGATGAGCCCTGCGGGCGCCTTGTTTGCTCAGGTTTGCACCCCACGTCCACGGTGAACGGCTGTATTACATGTTGCATGCAAGTGTGCAGGACTTCATAGTAGTTCGATGAGGGCTATACCGCAGAGCTGTCCATCCTACATTCCTCACTCTCCAGATTAACCCATACTTCACGTCATCCCAGTTTGATGTCCACACGTATCACAGATCACCCTGCTGAGATTGCTCAACACGTGTTTTGGCAGTATATCCAGTTAGCACGCCGCGTGCACCACAGCGGCGACAGCCATTCAATGCGTCGCCCAGACGCCACTTCGATGTGAGATGCTTCGGACACTTGGAATATGGTTCGGAAAGGGCAATGTGTCCGAGGAGCCTTCAAGACGTGTTGGGAGTTGTGTGATCATGCTGTCTTCCAGGGCTTCTTCTGCGGGGATAGCCCTAGTAGGGGCATGCCCCTGAAAATTGTCTGAGGCTTGGCTCTGAGAACGCGACATCTTCTCGAATGAAAGACGTGGCACAGTCCTTACATCAGCAGGGCGCAATGAGAAGTGTATTGAAACAGCGCTTCAGAATCTGTTGTTGCTCCTGCCGACGCAGACGCCTGACGGGCGGATATTCGGCTCGATGCCGCACGTCGTGATCTGCGATCTAGGAAGCGCCTTTCGAGTTGCACAGTAATCTCCAAGGAAGTGGTTCGGGAGTTTTCTTTTCACTTCTTTCCATCACCCCAACCCGACAACACTGTATACGTCGGTGTACGTGTGTATATATATATATATAGAGGGGTGTCCCTGCTGGACCGTTGCATCACGATTATGCTGTCTGCAGGTGTGGCTTTCACTCCATAAGCGAAGCTGGCAGCGGGGAGCCGAGAGACGAGGCGTGCCATGAATGGTGCAAACAGTGGGCAGTGGTTTCAGCTCCTCGCGTTGCGCGCTTGGGGGGGGGGGGAACGAGCAAAAGCCAGGACCATGTTCGAATGTTTTCGAATTGGCCTTGCAACTCGACCTCGCTTGCTTATGGCTTCGGGGCTCATTTCAGCTGCGAGCCCGCGCCGGAGCATCACTTTGATCTTCTGCTCTTCTGCCCGCAGCGTTTCGCAGTCCCGGCCTGGCCAGGCGGGGCTGGAGGCCACGAGGGAGCGGCAAAGGGGGGGGGGGAAAGGAGGTGAAGGAGGGGGAGGACGCGGATGCGGAGGAAGCCAGGGAGGAGCGGAGGGGGTTGGCTGGTTGGCTGGTTGGATGCTTTCTTGCGGATCGAGTGCGGGTCCGCGGGCACGCTCTCTTTCGTATGACGGCCACGCCGAAAGCGGCAGCGGGGTGCCCAAGCATGGCCCAGCCCCGGCCGTCGCTGTGCGAGCAGGGAGGGGAGGAGGTGTTCCCGCTGACTGAGACAGATGTTTTCTCGAACGCTGTGCCCGCAAATCATGTGGTACCGTCGCCCTTGTCGGGCTCTGGCGTGATCCAATCACAACGCTTCGGAGAGGAGAGGGTACGAGCGCACGCCAGACCAGGGGTAAACATTTCGTGAAGGCCCCCCTGGGCTGTCTGCGGCGGCTGCTACCCTCCCTCGGCGCTATACTCGAGTCGGCCTGAGAGGACTGCGTGTTTTGGGGGAAGTCGATCTCGACTTGCAAAAACACGCAGTCCTCTCTGCGACCGGGGAGGGGATGAGGCGCTCCCGCAGGCCACGCAGCAAACTCAGAGAGATCACCCCTGTCGGCTGCCGAGACACGGACCCAAGCCTGCCCCCTGGGTTCTAAAGAACTCCCCACCACCCACCCCACAGCGAGCCCGCCACCCCGGGGACCTTGGGCGAGTGGGCTCTTGGGGAGGCCGGACCAGTCCGACAGCCTCCCAGGGCATGCTTAGGCGATCGATCGTAACCGAGCACGCGAGACAGAGAGGATCCAAGCTGGAGCCCGCAGAGCGCGACGCAAGGGGGCTCTGCCTGGTGTTGGCTCGGCGCGTGACAAAACACCACGCAGGTGCTAGCTTGTGCGAGGAACCAAATCAGAGTCCGCCCACGAGCGGAGAGAAGAAGACGGCGACGATTGGCGCTCCACCGCCGCCAGCGGCAGAACCTTCTCTCCTAGCCCGCCTGGCCCAAGCTGCCGCGCAGCAGGATCGCTGCGCACTCCCGTGCGGGTGGCTGCCTGCGGTGCGACCCTGCCAGAAAAAAACGGCTCGACCAGAGGCCGCAGCTGGGCAGACCGACAGCATGTGGAGGCACGGGCTGGACTGCACTACGCCGCAGAGGGCGCACGACCCGGCGGCGAGCGAGGGGGGGAAATGAGAAGGAGAAGGCCTTCTCGGAAGGCGGCGGGGTTTCTCGGAAGGCCTCCGGCCTTCCGAGAAGCCTTTTCTCTTCTCGGGGAAGGCTTGGACAATTTCTCAGAAGCCCCGGGAAAACTCCCGAGCCTTCTGAGAAGGCTTGCTCCTTCGCACGTCCCCCCTGGGCGCGCCGCCTAATGACCGCCTCCCTCCGGGCCCACAGTGGCTGGCCCTGCAAGTGGCCCAGCGACAGGAAGCCGCCACGCAGCTCTTGGCATCGCTCGGACGTGTGCATTTTTCCTTCGGCGAGGGCCATCGAGGAGCATCCTTGATCATTTGGCGAAGAAACCACGCACGATATCGAAACAAAAACACAGGGAAGGGGCGTCCGAGCGATGGCCAGAGCTGGGCTAAGGAGCGCTGCGCCTCCAGAGCCCAGGGCCTCGTGGACATGCCGGGACATCGCCGGGCGCAGGCGACGCACGGGAGCGGGAGCATTTGTCGCTCGGCAGTTCCAGCCCGCGTGGCAAGGCACTTGGCATCCTCTCGATCAAGCACGCCTGTCTTATAGGCTGCCAGCGTACTGCCCGCGTGCGAACAGCAGCTGCACGGGCCAGTCGGCCAGAGCCCGCCGGAAGAGGAGGGCAAGTGAAACCTCGGTCCATGTCCTGCCGCGCCCTCGTCCGCGAGGAGGACGGCCTCCTCGTGCGCAGAGGTCTGTGTCCGCGAGAGCCCACACGGACGCACGCTGGGCGGCGACCCCCTCCGCAGCAGGATCCGACCCAGACCCAGACCGCGCCCCACCCCACCTCCCGCACGGCAAGTGGGCGCCCGCGCCAGGGCGGAAGGCCCAGGAGGAGCTGGGCCCATCGCTCGCGGGACGCGTCCTGCGCCGCACCGCTGGCCTCGTCCGCTGCCCGGAGCCGCCGCCCGAGCCGGCGGCCCCCCCCCCGCCCTGGGCCTCGACGAGGGCCGCCGCAGCGGCCGTCGGAAGGCCGCGCCCCGGCTGCGCGGCCCGCGCGTGTGGCGCCGCGTGGGACGAAGCCGCGGCCCCGAGGCACGGAGCACAGAGGGCAGCGGTGTCGAGGCCCCCGCGCCACGGCAGGTCCAACCATCGATCCTGAGTCGGGCTCGTGTCCTTCTGCAGGAGGAAAATGTGCCAGGAGCAGTTCAAAAACATCGTCTGGGGACGACGCTCCGTGCTCTTTTGGCTAGTTCTGATGTTGTATGAATTGTGTGTCTTTCTGCTAAAACCTGCCTGTGGGGGGACGTGCCCGACCTAAACATGTCTTGGGAGACAAAACGAGCGTCCACAGGGGTGTGTCCTTGGAGCTCCAGGGCCGGCGAGGGGAAGGTTAGCGCCCCTCTTGGGCCGCCGCCGGG